TTTTTCTTAACCAGTGCACCATATCTTCCATGTAGAGAAGAAAAACCACAAACTCTATCTCAATAAGTACAGTTAGACATAAAACTTGTAAGAAGACAATGGAGAAAATCAAGCCAAGTCAAAGTATATTAAATAGAAAATGGTTTTATTTTCTTTTGAAAAACATAAAGACTGAACTGGATAATTCTGCCTAGGGAAGTGTACTAGAACTAAACTTATTTGTACATATAACACACAAAATACAATAAATTAATATCCAATCTAGATAAGGTCAATTTTTTTTGAAAGGTAGAAATAGGGAGTTGTCAGTGAAAGGCAATTTAAAAAAATCTTAGGACACATGTCTTCACCTGAGATGTGTTCAGTATCTATTGAACATGGGGCTCTGTCGTACAAGCTAAACATCTAGCAATCTGGAGAGATAGCAAACATTTAGTAGCTCTAGAGCAAACGGAGTGAAGTCAATGGACCCTCCTGCAAAACACATTAGCAGTTTAAATTTCTACCACGGACAAAAACAGTTTTGTGACCTAATCAGGTGTTTATAGAAAGATGGACGTCCTCAGCTGGCTATTAAAAGAACCTTGTTCAGTACTTTCCAAAACACTGTGTTGCTTGGGAAAAAGAGCAAAGAGAGAAAAGTTTAATGGTGATATTCTTTTCATTCATAAATTTCTCCTTCCTCTGAGTTTTGCTGTAACATATGAAAGACCCAGATTCCCAGCTTGATTCCCTAGGGCAGAACACTGTAAATGATGTGCTAAAAACACATTTGTCTGTCTTGTTTCAGTTTGTAGACTGCTAAAATAGAGCACACAACCAGTATATATCCAGAAGACATCAACTTCACTGTTAGAACTTAGGCTCTCATACTTTAGCCATGGGCTTCAATTTCAATCTTTAAGAGTGTTAGTGGCTAAGTCGTGTCTGGTTCTTTTGGAATCCCATGGACTGCAGCCCGCCAGGCTCCTCTGTCTACAGAATTTCCCAGGCAAGCCTCCTGGAGTGGGTTGCCATTTTCCCCTCCAGGGGATTGTACCAGTCCAGGGATTGAACCATGTCTCCTCCACTGACAGGCAGGTTGTTTTTTTACTGCTAAGCCACCAAGGAAGCCCTAAATAATTTTCTCAGGTAAGGCAAATACCAAAAAGGTGACTCTAATTCTAATAATGAACCCATGTCCCCCCTTCCCTCCCTCCCTACCTGCCAAGCATTATCCATCCATCTGCTGCAAAGACAGACTGATTGATATGAATGGGAAGGATGAAAGATGTGGTAGGAGAAAACAAGAGTCATTATGAATCAATAGACTCTTCTCATTCTGTACAATGACTGATTGCATTTCTGTTGAAGTTATTATGAAAGATAATCTTATGTTCAAAGAACCTAACAAGATTCTAGGATAATAGCCACATCAAGGGCACAGATAACATATCATTATCTCTTTAAAACTTCTAATAGTAATATGTATGTAAACAAACATGAGATTGCAAAGTAACAAATCTATTTGGTTAATTCCAAGCAATAATGAATTCAATAGAAAAAGACAAGGAATTTAGTCAGCTGACTAATTTATATTCAGCAAGTAAAGAATATCTCATTGTCCTGTCCTAATACGATGAATGGTTTATTGGGATCAAATATTTAAACCAACTTTTAAATATTTGTTGATAATTTGTTGATTTTCCAAAATACATAAACATTCATAATCTCATTTCATAACCCTTAAAAGTACTATGATCTTAAAATATTTAGGGTCATAAGTGCCCCTAATCTAAACTGCACTTTAAATTTACTTGCTACCTTCTCCAATTCTGTATTTACTTCCATAATAAAAAAGCAAAGAACAATAACAGAAACTTAAATAAGAGAAAGGGCCCCAGCTATTAAAAAGATGAAACAATGTCATCTGCAGCAACATGAATGGACCTAGATGCTATCATACTGAGTGAATTCAGATGGAGAAATACAAATATCATATGATATTGTTTATATGTGGAATCTAAAAAAAAATGGTACAAATGAACTTTTTTTTTTACAAAACAGAAATAGAAACACAGATGTGGAAAATAAGTTATGGGGGGAGGGGCAGAGGGATAAATTGGGAGATTGAGGTTGATACAGATACACTACTGTGTATAAAATAGATAATAAAGTCCTACTGTACAACTCAAAAACTCTACTCAATACTCTGTAATGGCCTATACAGGGAAAGAAAACAAACCAAAAGAGTGGAGATATATATATATATACATATAACAGATTCCCTTTGTTGTACAGTAGAAACAACATTTTGTATCAACTATGCGTGTGTGCTAAGTCACTTTGATCACGTCCAACTCTTTGCAACCCTATGGATGGTAGCCTGCCAGGCTCCTCAATCCATGTGATTTTCCAAGCAAATCGATTTTCCAGGGTTGCCATGCCCTCCTTCAGGAGATCTTCCTGACCCAGGGATCAAACCAGCATCTCTTATGTCTCCTGCATTGGCAGATGGGTTTTACCACTATACTCCAATTAAAAAAAAAAAAAAAGGAAGAAAGGCACCAGGATAAAGATTACACATACATGATATACATGGAGACTATTTGCATATTAATGAACTGTGTTTCTATTTACACTTCCATCACTAGAACTAATTGTTAGTTATTTTAAGGAAGAAGTTATGCTTTAATTAACAGCATTTCATAAATGAAAGCTGGTTGCATTTCTTAAGTATGTTCAAATTTCACAAGTCTTATTTCACAGCAGGGATTCCAGTTCATTCAATACTTTTATGTGATAACACCTCTAGATCAAGGAAGAAAATCTTTAAAAGACCCTAATTAATAGGTTTCCGGAATAAAAGCCAAAAAAAAAGCATACTTAACGAGTAAGCTAATTATCTATCCCTAGAGCATTAAAATACCTAACATTTTAAATGACGCAGATTGAAGGAGAGAGAAACACCTTTGGTATTTAATATTTCTAACTCTGCTGTTCCTAAGGACTTAACCAACCCAAGAGCTCAACATTTTCATCTCTGTAGCATAGTGTTTCTATACCTCTGACCCTTCCATATTCTTCATCCTGTCTACACTTTGGGACCTTGGGAGCACTGTTTTTGATCATGTGCTTGGAAAAAACATAAAATCCCAGAGTTTCTGCTTTATTTTCCCCATCACCCTGACACTTCCCTGCTTATTACTTCTCTGCAAAATTGTGCCACCTTCTCCTACTTTTCATGTAAACCATATCTCCCTTTTCCCCAATTTTATGCTTTTGTTCCCCCAATTTCCCTCTCTCTTTGGCAGAAGACAAAAAAAAAAGTCATGCTGTAGGATTTGTGTGTAATCTTTGGCCCAGCTCTCCCAATCTATTCCTTTTCCATGTCACTTCAAAAATCAAGGAAAAGGCATATAAAGGGAAAAGAAAAGAACAGAACTTCAAAGCAAAACCTTTTTAGTTGCCAGCTTTAACCCCAAATGTTTGTCTCTTAAAATATTTTTATCTTTCCCTTTCGATCAGAAATAATAAATGTAGGATTACTTAGAAAAACACAGCTAGTAAATTGGATAAAACTTTGGTTAATATTCCTTTATTTGATTCTTACTATTTATGAGAGACATGAGACAGCAGCCAAAACAATAACTACAGCAATTAAGCTTGCAATTACTGCTCTGTAGCTATTGCTCTTCTACATATTTTACACATATTAACTTATTTAATCTTTACAACACTGCTCCCCCAGGTAAACAGAAATGAGGATCAACTCTCCCAGAGTCACAAAGCTAGTGAGCAGAACAGGAAACCAGACAGTCTGCCTCGACAACTCTACCTGACCGCCATCACTGCTTCTTTACCACACATGTGCTGTGCATTTCATTGGGCATTTCTTTTGCATATTTAAAGACATGAACTTTTCTGGGTCTGAGATGAGTAGAAATGCCTTCAAGACAAAATTTTTTTTCTCTATTACATATCCCCACCATCTACCTATGCTATATATTTTGTGGTAAAGAATGAAAAGGAAAGAAAGACTCATGAGCAAGACAGAAATGCCTAGTGAGGACAGAAATGAAAGCTGCACTTCCCCTTGACCAGTTATGACTGACTTTCCAAGCCCAGCAGCACCTGTCAGCTTCAAGCAGAATTCTCCCAGAACCTACTGGTCTACCTGCCTTCAAAGTGTTTCCTGACTTGCACTTCATTGTGGATCGTCAATACTCCCATGGCTCCCCACTTTCAAGCTTTGAAAACAGACAAACATTCATTCTCATGGGAAAGATTTAAAGAAGAAGGCTCCTGGTAAACCATCCCCTTCCCAATACCTATTGATAGCATTCTCTCCTGTCCTGAAATTTTCAGGGTGGCCTCCGGTGAGAGTGGCTGGGTACCTAATGGTCTCACTTGAACCACTGATTCAAGAGGAGGAAAATTCAGACCCTGTAGGAAACCTAAAGAACCTAGAACAAAAGACCATCAGGACCTGACATGACCTTCCTGTAATGAGGCCAATTCTGCCTCATGCTGACAGTTACTTCCTCTCCTGTTTGCTTTGGTGCCACGAACAACATCAGAAGAATAGAGGGAGTTAGGGTTATATGTAAAATAAATTGTGAAAGCAGAGCATTATCAATCTCATTTTAGAATAATGGCAATATTATAAAGTTTTGATGTATTATTTAATCTCTTCCATTTGCTTTCTGCCCACAATGTTACTTCTTCAACAACACTTAAAGCAGCAGCAACAACAAAATATAAACCAACACATCAAGCCAGCCTCCCTGAAAAAGAAGAAAAAACTGTTCTGAAAGCTTTTGCTCCGAACCAATTGCCAGTGTGGCAGGAAGCCAAAAGAATTTGAAAAAAAAAAAAAATCCCAGCAAACTATAAACATAAGACAAGCATAAACACAGCACAAAGCACCTCTTTGAAAAATGCCAGTTCCATCACAAATCCGACGGTTTGGAAAAGCCCATTTCTTTTCCCAAAGAAAGAAATTAAGTTCAAGTACTTACAGTGTCATGAGACTTATCCTTGACATCATAGACTGTTAGCTTTATTTTGGTCTCCTCATAGATGGGATACTCAGATGGGAATGTGACACCAGTCAAGAACAGTGGGTCTCTTGTTCCCTGTAACAGCATAAGCAGACAACTTTGATTCAATGAGGCAGCAACTGCAGTTGGCAGCCTGTGGTGACACAAGAGAATGCAGAGTGTCTGGGTCTGTTTGTTTTTCTAGGAAATGATTCTATTAGAAGAGAGATCTGAATTGCCAAAGTGTGCCCATAGGGAACAGCATGGCCCAAGGCCCCAAAGTACTGATAGAGCTGTAGATAGTAAATGCCTTGCATCCTTGTCAAAGCTGCTAAGAATCTTGAAAAACAATTTATTTTCATTACATGCAGAAGCATTGTTAGGGTCAGCTGTCATTACATTTAGCATACAATTAATGGACATAACCTGTGACTTATGCAAATAACCTAAGATACTGACTGATCAAATTAAAATGAAGCTCTTTTCTCAACCACTTGGTAATCTTATGCTGTCCATTTATTTCCTTCCTGTAATGATTCAACTGAAAGCCACGCTCTGATAGCATTCATTTGTTTTTAGATGCTCAGCTGTATTTTTTTTTTCTCAGACTGATTTGAAAACTAATGAAAGAAACTAAATATGATGGATTCAGGGCTATGAAATGACTATCTCAGGATGCAGTGCACAGAGTATTTCCATGCCTCAGAATTCATTTTTAGAGAGCTGACATCCAACATTAAATTTAAATTTAAATTTATATTTAAATATGCACAGTGCTGAATGTTTGCTAGAGTTTTGTAAGCCAGTCATTTATGGAAGTTTCTGGAAGCTGAAGTTATTCATTTATTCATTCATTCCTTCTTCCTTTTATTTAACTAATACTGCTTTTTGTTTGGCACCGTGTTAGACGATGTGCAAAACACACAGTGAATGAAACAATCAACAACAGCTATATATATTCAAATCAGTGTGTCAAAATACATAATTTCTCTTAAATCTTGACAATATTTTTAAAATAATCAAGTTGGGATAATGCTTGAAAATAGTTTTCATATAAATGAAGAATTTTCCAATGTTGGTTTTCTTCGAATGAATAAGATTATTTTTGCTTATTCAACCACAACTTTAACTACAAATGATACCAACACTGGAACCTAAAGTTTCCCAAGGACAGATTCAGGGCTACGTGTAAGATCTGGGTTACTCCCATTGGTGAAATGTGTGGACTTTTGTCTGAATCATCTATTCCACCAACGGCAGTTAGCAAGCCTGGTCTGGAGTAGACAACTTAAACTCCTGCTGAGAAACTCCTCCTTCAAAATAGACAGGGCTCCCAAGCCTAAGAAAAGTGAAGCTCGGAGTTTAGAGGACACTTTCTTTAATGCCAGAGACTAAGTAACCCTCATTCAGTAAAGCTGTGAAATATGTGTGATGAGAACAAAATAATGAAAAGGGAAACACTTCCTCTTTTGAATCTGATCCAGCACAATAACAAGTTTCCTCCCAACACATTTTGAATGTTATATAAGCAACAATAAATGTAAATAGGAAATCTCTCATCGGATGAGTAATATTTACACCTTTTGCCTAGAAACATTACAGTGTCTCCAATTAATCATCTACCTTTCTTTGAAAAACACCATACTTTAAATAAAAAGACACACATGAAAGGCAGAGAATATGAAGTTTCCACAGACAGCCTGAAGGAAACAAAAAAATGAGAAGGGCAAAAACAGTTTTAAACGTCTCTAGGTAATTTACAACTTTCTTTTTTCCCTGCAAAGATATACTCATTCCATTTAATTAAAATTTTATATACAGCTTTTCCTCTACTTAGTACTCTATTCAAAGATTCAAAGTGGGGATTTTCCTTTTACTTACTAAAGAAAAATAAGGTCTTTCATAAAAATTTTTTAAAAGGGCAAGTTCTTTCCCCATTTGTTTATCCTGGCCAGTTACAAATGCATGCTTAGTAAGCTCAGGTATGCCTTCCTAAATGACAGAGGACGGTAACTCAGCACAGCTGTCAGCCAGGATCTAAGGTAATTCAGCTGTTTGCTCAGATCCAGACAGCGACCTGGAGATAGAGTAAGGCAGGCACACAGCACGCTCACCTCAACAATTTCGGTGCTGGAGTATCTTGTCAGCCCCTGCTCCGCGGGGTGGATTACTGAGATCTGGACCAGAGTATTCAGCTTCCGATCACGGACAGGAGCCAAGAGATCCTTGCATGCTGCCGACGGCAAAGCAGAAAGAGAAAAGAAACTAACACCGTATCTCAGGGAAAACTTCTGTCCCGGGTTGGAAGGAACCTTAGCGCTGGCACTGAATGAAATCTTCTGGGAGTTCTGGGCAGATTTTAGAGGAAGTCCCTTGGAAGTACCTTACAGAAATAGGAAGTCACGTGCTGCGGAGCTGAACTGAGAATTCATTTCCACTGGCCACATCTGCAGCTCTTGCGAGTCTCCACTGCCCTGGGATCCTCACTCTCCTGTGTGACTGTGCACACACGGCGCAGGGACTTTGAGTGACTTTAGTTAGTCGCTAAACCCCGACTTTAACTCACACCCCTAGACTAAGTAAACGCGCTGGGGCCACAGGCGGGAAACTTTATGCTGCTCCTGATTTGCACTGGCTGGATTAGCTCACTTGTCAGAAGGCACACTTGGTATTTACCCATCTATTCACTATCCGTTCACCCTCACAGCCCTACAGGTTCAGGGCTGGGCGGTTGCCTTTCAGCTGTACAGAAGCTGAGGCAAAGGGCGAGGAGGAAGAAAGAGGAGGGGTTAAAAGCTCCTTTGTCCAGATTCTAGCCAGGCCGGGGAGGCAGAAAAGTGGAAAAAGGATGGGTTAATTCTTGCCCGGGGGGCCACAGACCCGGAAAGACCTTTCCCTTGAGATAGGAGGCTCATATTACAGAGGCTCCTCACCATACCATATTTACTTGAATATTTTCTCCACCCACATATCATTCCCACAATTTGGGGAAGAAAAATCCAAAACGTATTCCTTTTCAGCAAATCCATTATCTCCTCAGGTGTTTCCCTTCCTGGCTTTGAAATAGTAATTTTACTACCTGCATTTAGATCGTGAAGTATCAGGCAGTGTCCCTTCTAGAGAAAGTGTCACTCACTCAGTCCTGTTGGACTCTTTGCCATCTCACAGACCTTGGTCCTCCAGGCTCCTCTCTGTCCAAGGAAGTCTCCAGGCAAGAACACTGGGGTGGGTAGCCATACCCTTGTCTAAGGGATCTTCCCCACCTAGGGATCCAACCCTGGCTCTCCCACATTGCAGGCAGATTCTTTACCATCAGAACCACCCCTTCACTAGACGAGAAGATTGAAATTAGGCTAAGTTGGTGGCTGGGGGTGGGCTGACGCTGGGCTTGGGACTGAAGTGGCCCCCAGCCCTGGATTCCTGTCGAGTGTGTGCTGAGCTCTATACTATCCCCACCTCATACCTCTGATTGTTGCAAGAAAAAAAAGAGGGAAGGACACAAGTATTTAAAATACATTATTTCACTTCAGCAGTACACAAGAACTTCATCCCCTAGACCAGAGGTACTAGGGCTTAAACTTGAAAGCAAAGGAAATTATAAATGTAATTATCACCTTTTCTTTGCTTACAAATTAGCTCATTTACAGAAGCAGACTGGGACAGAGGAAAAAAGCAGCAGTTTTGCAATGAAACAGAGGTAGTTTTCAGCTAGTTCTACTAGCTGAGCAATGCTAGGCAAATTATTTAACTTCTTAACTTCTTGATAAACTTTGAGATCTTTTAAAACCTGCACAGTATTTTTGTTATATTTTTTTCCTTACTTAAACTATAGTCTCTAACCATACAAGAAAGCTTAGGAAAGCATGTGTGGAAAATAGTAGCAACAGTTTACCTAGCCATTGCTAATTTTGAGTCCTTTTGCCAATTATCTCTTTATTTCTCAAAATGATGCTTTGAATTATTATTTAAGTTTTACGTACTAAGAATTGGAGGCTTAGAAACATTAAGCACTCACATTTGCAACCCGAGAACTCTCTCGTAGTTTGTTTACATCATACCCCAACAGTTCCACTTCTTTTCTTGGCATACTGAATTCCTTTCTCGCACAATGGAACCTCTTTTTGGGAAAGCGACTGCCATAATTCTTTATTGTCTAACCGAAGAGATCTAGTTTTAGAAAATACTGATGCAAGGTTTCAATAATGTCAACATATCACCGGAAGGAAAAAAAAAAGATAGATTTAGACTTTACTGTTCTTTGGTGGTTATTTTGATCATTTCCTCTACTTGCCTAATGACTATTTATCACTCATTCTCTTGGCTTTCTGCTCACTGTGTACAGTTCTCTCTTCATTTACTGATACTGACATATATCTGTCCATAGATTTTGAAGCTGGAGCCAGTTTGTTCCAAACACATGCATTGTGTCCAAGTCCTGCTTGTAGCTTCATCTCTACCTTATGGACTTATCACATTTTCTCAAAGTAAGTTACTTCTTTTCTGATTTTTTATCAGACTTGATTGTGGGATGTGGTTAGTTCTCAGAAGTGACAGACTGTTCTCAATTTTATCAGAGAACCTCTCAGACTGACTCTTAAAGAAAAACAAAGACAATCTCCATTAAATGTTCTGTCGAACCCAATTTGACAGATTTGTCAAACCCAATTGTCAGACCCCCAATACTGATGAAGTGAAAATAATCTTAATGGCACTTTATATTTCTTTATATTTTAAATCTAAAATATGGTCTAGAAAACAACAACTAAAAGTTACGTCTTGACTGCTCATATCTTTTCCTTCCCAACAGACCAGAGATTTTACTGTTCCCTAAACCTATGAGGCAAGTTATCAGGGAAAGACCCTGAGATCACTTAGAATCCCTGAGCTGTATTCCCAAATTCCTCATTTTCGACTTATATGCCATTAAGTCACAAAATCTTAGAGGCTCAGTTTCTTCATCTATTTCTTGGGGTGGAGGTAAGGAATAAATTAGGTCCCTTTTATGAATGGACTTTTCTATATGAAATAAAGTTTACTAATATCATTATACTAACATTGACAAATATCAATACCAATATTTACCAATACTTAGTATTTTATTCTTCTGTAAAATGGTTTTTATTGACTCAGTTACATTCAGACCGCTCCTTAGAAGTTCTCAGTAGGTCCCATGTTTCTTTGTAAGTACTAAACCAGTACATGAGTCACTGCATTTCACAAAGTGAAACCCATCCACGCTATGGATCTATACATACTGAAACTGTCCCACAGGCAGGGTGATAAATGATGAGCGATTGAATTGCTTCGTGGAGGTGAAACTCACTGGATCACTGTAAAGAATTATCTGCCTAGTAACTTTTCAGTATCCACTAAAGAAGTGTGCAAAATATGGTTTTAGAATCAAAAAATGTCACATTAGTTTTCCAGCCACACTTAGCATACTACCCATTACCCACACAAAACTCTACTCTAGGAGGGAGTGACCTGCGTAAATGGCCTTCCTTGATTCACGGGACTCAAAGAACACTCTGGAGTTTCACTTCATTTGTTTGGTTTTATACAAGAATTTTTGAACCAAAGGGTAGCAACAAGTAAATACCTCTCTGCCATCATTCATTCATCATTAGATTTTTACTTTTATTTCTACCTTTTTACTGGCTTTGTTTTGGTCCAGACTATTTAAAAGCATTCTCATAGTCCACCATGTTTAAAATATACAAGGTGTTGATAGCTGGGGATTCAAATGTGCTTGTGTCCACTGAATTAACTGTTTATTTTTTTAAGTAAAGGGAGCAAAAATCATAATATGAAAACAATGATTATGTTTTTTAAAAAAACTTACACTTCTAAACTTTTCTTTAGGAAATAAATAAAAGAACTACGAGTGACTACTCCTGTTAACTTGTCTATAGTAACTGGCCACGTGAGGCTGCACTTCACACTGTCAGTGCTGGCGAGTGAGATGCCACAGGCATCTCCAGCTCGGATCTGTACAGGGCCCAGAGAGCTCTCACTCTGCTGGAAGGGAATCCTCAGTAGCTGCTGCTGCTAAGTCGCTTCAGTCATGGGGTCGACTCTGTGCGACCCCATAGACGGCAGCCCACCAGGCTCCCCCGTCCCTGGGATTCTCCAGGCAAGAATACTGGAGTGGGTTGCATTTCCTTCTCTGATGTATGAGGTGTAGTGATAAAAACACAGGGCGTGTCAGTATCTCTGGAAAGAGCTGGGCACCAAGCAACAGGAAACCTATGCTGTGTCAAGAGCCGGGCCCTCCATCCAAATCCATTGCCTGAAGAAATAAAAGCCCACTGTGGCTTCATTTAAGGATTTGTCCAAAGCTTGAAATTTCAGTCACTGTGTAAGTTAAATCCATAGATCTGTGACTAAATTTGGCCTAAGGACCAGAAGTTTCCAACTCCAGTCTACATGCTTAAGCTACTGCTTAGGTTCTTAGGGAGAAAGTTCAGGTCATCTATTGCTCCTATGATTTCTCTACTATCCAAGAATCCAGAAGCTAAAGGGCAGGGGTTTCTGGGTTCTCATTGGGTTAATAATCCGTCCACCCCAAAATACTGTTTGTTTGTGTGTGTGTGTGTTTTTATAAAATATCCACTTGTGTTTCATTCAGTTATCATTTTTAAGTCACGTCAAGTCTGTTGAGTCACTATATCTGTTCTATCATTCTAGCCAACACGGGCTGGAAGCTGAAAAATGTCTCCTGACTCTTGTCTCAGAGAACTCAGTCCCAGAAATTATCCATTTGAAGTAGAACACAATTTTCAATTCAGGTGCCTTTGAATTCAGCAGCACTGGCCAAATCCTAGCCGTCCTCAGACTTGCACTGGGTAATCAGAGGCGCCTGCCACAGGCTTTCACAAGGGCAGTGGCAGTTCAAGGTCGACTCCCAGCAACTGTCTCTTTCCCCTTAAGAACTTTCTTCTGTGAAGCCAGGTCATTTTTCTTGCCCCATTTCATTCCATCTCTCTTCTTGCCATTCAGTGTTAAGCAGATGTTAAGCAATGGTAAGCATCAAGCAGAGTTTATCCTCTGCCCTCTAGAAAAAAGCAACCGCTACAAGCAGAGGAGTGGACTTTGACAAGAGTTCACACAGCTCTACAATTCTGTTCTTAAATTAGCCAAAGGAAGCTTAGGCTCCGAGGAGAAACCACACAGGAGAGCAAATAGAGAATAAAGACATGTTTGTTTGTTTTTTAAACTCAGGATAAAATTGTA